CAAAAAAAAAAAAAGAAACCATCGTCCTACAACCATACTAACAATGCTTTACCTAAGTCCAAGGTAAGGAAGAATCAGAGACAAAAGAGCTTTAAGACATGATCCTTTGGTTTAGTTCCAAGTTCCTAAGACAGACTTTTACTCCAAATTATTTTTACAGAGAACATAATCATACTGCAAAGTTCCTTTTAATATCTTTTTCAAAGCCGGGGAAAATATAATTCCCTACTAAAATTTTACATCAATATGAGGTACTCCTTAAGCTCTTTATGTTCACTACTGAAACTATTCAACAAGTAACACTTTAAAAATATGTAGAGATTGACAGTGCACCATAGAGTGTACATAATATGTAAGTTGTCTTATTTCTAGGTTGTCTTTCTTAAAAATAAATTTAAGTTTACAGTAAAAATCCACTGATGCTTCACTACAACCCTCCCACAAACTTGTATTCAACACATAGATTTTAAAACATGCATCTCACAAGCAATCTCAGTAGACCGGAGGCACCTAACGCAAATTCAATATCCTGATGCAAACCAGAAACTCTTATTAACTAAGTAACTCAATAAAACATTATAAATATATAGCACAAAAAAAAAACACCAACACCAACATGAGCATTTTATTACAAAAGAATCAGTATGAAATAAAGAGTCTAGAAACACTGTAGGACTTTTTCAAAACAAGGAAACAAAAACTTAGGATGGCTATATCATAACTACTATACCAATAGTAGAACTGAAAAACAAGCAAGAGGAATAGTCCTTAAAACACTCTTCTGTTGCTGTAAAGGAGAGGAGACCTAGAAGGGAAAGCAAATGCTAAAGGGAATAAAGGCTTCATTTAATGAACAGGTTTTACTAATTTGGACACAAGATATCTTTCTTCTCAGCTGCTTACATTAGTGAAGTTTATAGGTGAAAAATGCAATTGCTAACTTGAAGAGTGTTAAAATCCAAACTTGCATACAATAGTACAAAGGTCGAAGAAACCAACGTGGGGAATGGTGAAGTATTTAGTGAGCCTAAGCCTTAATGCATTTGTCAATGCAAATTTTAAATATAAATGTGTTACTAACTTTACTCACACAGAAAATTAAGTTTGCAGCATGATGTAGTAGAAAGCTGTATACCAACAAAATTCTATAAATCTTAAGTATTTAAAGCAGACTGTACACAACTTAAAAGAAACCACACCTCTGACTTCAGCTTTTTGAAAGTTATGTATTTTTAAAGCCCAATATTGTATCAAAACACAATTGTAAAGCACTGAAATGACTAACAAATGTTACAATTTTTTAAAGACTTCATACAGTGTCAAAATACCTAAATATTTTTTACTTTTCAAAAGTTTAACTTCACCCACTTTGTGGAGTCATATAAAAGTTTACTAGTTCAGCACCAAACTAAAGAGATTCATATTTATTTGAGGACACCCTTTTTAGTTAATCCAGTCCTCCTCCTTTCAACACTACATTTGCCTAACTATTCACCATAGGCATATGACATATATGACAGCAAATACCGCTTACCTCTTCTAAATATACAAGTCTGAAGAACAGGTGCAATACTATTTAGACGTATGTTTTTTTTCTTCTAAGCCTAAATTTGCCCCGCAAAGTTATTTAAAAATAAACACAAATACCCAAGAAAGTTAAATAATCCTTTCAAAAAGATGCGACAATTTTGAGATCAGGACATGAGCTGTTAACTACCAACATCTTCCAAACGTGCAGCCTATCAAAGGTTCACATTATAAGGAATGAGTCAAGCTCAACTATGAAGGGTCCTGAGGACATCTCACTTTGCTTCTCCTGCACGAGTAAGATGATTCAACTACATTTCACTTCAAACTTATATTAAATCTTTTCAATCGTTTCATAAATACAGCACAGTCTGGTGTGGTTTTTTTATGGATAAAGAAAGGGATAGGGAAAGGAGGTCTAGTGAAGAGTACGCTAAAAAGAAAAATTCAGTGCTAAAAGCGTTGATGAGTCACTAAGCAAGGAATAACTACAGAGAATCCAAGTGAGTAAGGCAGCATCTCAGGTAAGAAGTACTTAAAGTTGACGATAGGAAGTAAAACTTCACAGGTCATTCGCAACTCACTGTGCACCGTAGCCGCCCAGGAAAGAAGCGTAGCTGTCAAGGGGCAAGTGCATACGAAGTCTGAGGGAGGGGGCCAGATATGCCAAATCGGAAAAGAGGGTGGTCCGGAAAAAGGAGGTAAGATGCCTATCCCTGTCCCTCTCGTTGGGCTCCTCATCTCAAGAGGAACAAACAAGAGCAAACTCGGTGTCGAGCGGCGCCAACCCGGACTCAAGCCCTGGAGGCCCGGGAAGGCCGCCTGCGGAGGAGCCCCCGCAGACGCCATACTAAAAGCCAAAATGGCTGCCCCGAGGAGGCCCGCACCGCGTAGCTAGTGAAGGCTGGGGAGCAAGCTTCTGCGGGAAAGAGGGAGGGGAACTCCAGGAAAGCCGTTGAGAAGACTATCACACCCTGAGCAGCACAGGTAGGTTTCATTCGGCCTCCCGAGGCGCTGGCTCCGGCTGAAAGGAGTCCCGGCCCCACCCCCCGGCTAGGAACCCCGCCGCCGCAGCCGTCCCGCACACCGACCCCAGCGAGGTACCTGCAGTTCGGCCCGTTCCACCTCCCAGTGCGCCCGCTCCATCTCGAACCGAGCCCACTCGTGCTGGATGTAGTGCAGTATCCCCGGGATAGTGTACTGCTGCGGCCGGGACAGCTCGGGGCCTGCCGCGGGACCCGTTCCTTCGGAGGCCGGAGGACCCCCGCTGCCCGCTGCTCCGTTCCCCCCTGGCGAAAGGCCCAGGTTCCCCCCAGGTCCCTGCTGCTGCCGGGGAGGGGCCGCCATCCCGGGGCCGCCACCACCGCCTCCGGCAAGCTCGTCCATTGTGTGTGGGGCCCCGGCCGGGGCGCAGGGCGAGACGCCGACAGCTGGGGGAAGGGCTGGAAAGGGTGGCCCCGCGCTGGCGGCGGGGCGGAGGCCGGCCAGAAGAGGGACGGGGAAGGGGTCGTTGCTGTGTGCCTGCCGTGGGTCAGAGCAGGGAGCTGCCGGCCGCCGCCATTACAGTCCCTCCTCCATCTGCCCGTCTCACTCACTTTAGGGGAAGGGGGGGCCACGGAGGGAGGGGTGGGGGTAGGGTTGGGAAGGGGATAGGCGGAGGGCCGTCACTAGCGCACAGCATGCCGGGTAGCGAACGCAGCCGCACGCTTAATCGCCAAATAGAGTCCGGCCTCACCCTACGCCGGCGCATTGAGAACGCATCCCTAGTCGCCGTTAGGGGGCGGGGAAGGAGTTCGGGCTCCGCCCCTAGGCCCGCCCTCAGACCCGGTCTGGTGTCTGGCGGTGGCTACCGGACGCGAGGCTGGGACTCTGACTTTTGGAAGCGAGGCGGTTCTAGGCTTCCTGGTTATCAGTTTCCTTCGAGCAGGCGATCTCCAGGCACCGTTTCCTTCCCGAGGGTCTCACCCAGTGCTGGCCTTCGGAGCTGGGTATTAACCTAGCTGGTCCCTCAGGCGGACTGCAGCCTGTCTCTGATTCCTGACGTTTCTTTTTCATTCTTTTAGTGTTCAGGCAGTCCCAAAGGTGGGCTCTCTTTCCTTGCTTGTCACTTGCTCTGTCTGGTTTCTTATCACCAGTCAGTTCTCTTCTGGCAAATAGCCAAGATCTTCGGGCTGTGGTGACCGATTCTTTGGGTTTCGAGCCTAGGCTTTGGTCCCATTTTTGTGCGCTTGGTCTCCGGTCATAACTTATTCCACTTTGCGTCCCCTCTTCTTTCTTTTCCTGGAATGGGTGTATTTCGCTGGGTTGGTAGAGGAGGAGGAGAAGGAGCGATTTTTTTTCCCCCCTTGGGAGAAGAAGAGGTAGTGAATTCCTTCACATCTTGACGATGGTGGGTAGAAGGAGAAAACAAGTTTGAAGGAGACTGGCTAGACTAACAATTTGTTATCTTAGAAGTGAATGGGCTCACAAATATTGTCATGAATAGACTATTTTGATCGAAACAAAAGCATTGTGTATACAACTTAAAATCCTAGGTGGATGTTTTCCTGGGTCGTTAAATGTTTAAGTGAATATGGCCGGGCGCACCTGTAATCCCAGCACTTTGGGAGGCTGAGGTGGGCGATCACTTGAGGCCAGGGTTTCGAGACCAGCTTAGCCAACATTGTGAAACCCTATCTCTACTAAAAATACAAAAATTAGCCGGGTGCGGTGGCTCAAGCCTGTAATCCCAGCACTTTGGGAGGCCGAGGCGAGTGGATCACGAGGTCAAGAGATCAAGATCATCCTGGTCAACATGGTTAAACCCCGTCTCTACTAAAAATACAAAACATTAGCTGGGCATGGTGGCGCGTGCCTGTAATCCCAGCTACTCAGGAGATTGAGGCAGGAGAATTGCCTGAACCCAGGAGGTGGAGGTTGCGGTAAGCCGAGATCACGCCATTGCACTCCAACCTGGGTAACAAGAGTGAAACTCCGTCTCAAAAAAAAAAAAAATACAAAAATTAGCCAGGCATGGTGGTGCACCCTTGTAGTCCCAGCTCCTGGAGAAGCTGAAGCACAAGAATTGCTTGCGCTCAGGAGGCGGAGGTTGCAGTGAGCCAAGATCGCACCACTGCACTCCAGCCTGGGCGACAAAGTGAGACCCTGTGTCAAAGAAAAAGTTTGAATATATACATGAAAGACAAGACTAATATTTTAAATACCATAGTGGGTATTTTTTTGTGCTTAGTTTCTTAGAAAGTATCCTAATGTACTAGTATGTTTCTAAAAATTGATATAAGAAGCACTTGGTTGAAAAATAAGACAAGCCGGGCGCGGTGGCTCACACCTGTAATCCCAGCACTTTGGGAGGCCGAGGCGGGTGGATCACGAGGTCAAGAGATCGAGACCATCCTGGTCAACATGGTGAAACCCCGTCTCTACTAAAATACAAAAAATTTAGCTGGCATTGTGGCCCCGCGCCTGTAATCCCAGCTACTCAGGAGGCTGAGGCAGGAGAATTGCCTGAACCCAGGAGGCGGAGGTTGCAGTGAGCCGAGATAGCGCCATTGCACTCCAGCCTCGGTTAACAAGAGCGAAACTCCGTCTCAAAAAAAAAAAAAAAAAAAAGAAAGAAAAATAAGACAAAAATAACAACATAAGGAAATTGGGTTCAGTAATTATATTTATAGCTATACAGGGAAATTGCATTTAAAATCTGTTGCATTTAAAAAAATTTTTTTTCTTTACTGCAAAAGCCAATAGAAGTTGTGCTATGGAGTATACACCACCAACCAATTTCCAAGAGATAAAGTAATGCATCTTATTTTATCATATCTGCTTTACTGTTATTACAGTTTAATGGAAAGCAGATTGGACTTGTTATTCATGCTGCCATGTTTTACTTATATATGAAACGATGTCTTAGATCACAGTACTGTAATGTTAAGGACTATTTCTCCAAATTATAATTTATTTTTTGAAAGAAGGTCTCACTCTGTTGCCAGGGCCGGACTGCAGCAGTGTAATCTCTGCTCACTGCAACCTCCCCGGTTCAGGTGGTCCTCCCCCTTTAGCCTCCTGAGTAGCTTGGACTACATACAGGCACACATCACCACACCCAGCTAATTTCTGTATTTTGTAGAGACAGGGTTTTGGCATCCAGGCTAGTCCTCAACTCCTGGGCTCAAGTGATCAACCTGCCTTGGCTTCCCAAAGTGCTAAGATTACAATTTCTCCAAATTATTAAGTTCCTATTTATCTTATAGTTACCAACATACAACCTGTTTATTCATCCAATTCCTTTTTAGGGGGCCTCATAGCACATAAAAAGTTCAGAAAAATCATGCTGCCTCAAAGACATATATATATATATATATATATATATATATATATATGTAAGTGTGTGTGTATATATATATACATGCTGCCTCAAAGACATATATATACACGCATACACACACACACACACACACACACACACACACACACACACTGAGACATTTGTGGCCGGGCACAGTGGCTCACACCTATAATCTCAGCACTTTGGGATGCCGAGGCAGGCAGATCACTTGAGCTCAGGAGTTGGAGACCAGCCTGGCCAACATGGCAAAACCCTGTCTCTACAAAAAATACAAAAATTAGCCAAGCATGGTGGCACATGCCTGTAATCCCAGCTACTTCAGAGGCAGAGGTCACAGTGAGCGAAGATCATGCCTCTGCACTCCAGCCTGGGTGACAGAGTGAGGCTCCATCTCAAAAACAACAACAACAAAAAACCATTTGTAAGAGAGTGTGGTTGACCTGATGATACCATCGAAAGAAGACTAACATGCACACTTATGTGTCCCACTGGTACCTTAAGCTTAAGGAAAGACTGGATTTATTACCCTTTTTGCCTTCTCATCTACCCTCAAAACAAAAACAAACCTGCTTCTCTTCTATTATCCACCTTATTAAGTGGCACTAAATCCAAACTTGAAGCCTAGCAGTGACTCTAGTATCTTTCACTCAGCCCCCACGATCCAGTTTCTTTCCCAGTAACATACTTCCTATGGATTCTATTTTCTTTCTTCATACTTTAAACCTTCCTACCTCCATTCTTCCCCCACTTTGCACTATCACTGCTGCTTGAGTGGTCTTCCTAAAATGAAGATTATGATTCTGTCATTCCTCTGTTTAACATAGCTTAGTGATTTCTAAATTTAGAATAAAGCCCAAATATTAACATAGCATATAAATAGATCTAGATCCACCCTATAACCTAACCTACCATGACACCATCGTATCATCCTGTTGTTCTCTTCAGCCAAACTGCACTGTTTTTGTTTCCTCAAATGTATAATGCTATTTCATTCCACAGTGATTTAACATATGCTGTGCTTCATTGCCTTTGCTTCAAAACTCAATCAGGCACAGTGGCTCATGCCTGTAATCCCAGGACTTTTGGAGAGAGATGGGAGGATAGTTTGAGCCCAGGAGTTTGAGATCAACCTGAGCTACATGGCAAAACCCCGAAAACCCATCCCTACTAAAAATACAAAAATTAGCCGGTGTGGCCACATGAGTCTGTAGTCCCAGCTACTCTGGAGGCTGAGATGGGAGGATCACCTGAGCCAAGGAGGTCCAGGCTGCAGTGAACCATAATTGCACCATTGCACCAGTGCACTGCAGTCTGGGCAACAGAGCAAAACCCTGTCTTAAACAAAATCCTCCCCCAAATAACAAAAAACTCAGCTCAAACATTACCTTGTTTAAGAAACCTCTATATCCCTGAATTATTTTGACTCACTATTCTAGTAGCCTCCTTCCCATGCTTACCTCTTTTTTTTTTTTTTTTTTTGGGGACTGAGTTTTGCTCTTACTGCCCAGGCTGCAGTGCAATGGCGCAACCTTGGCTCACTGCAAACTCTGCCTCCCAGGTTCAAGTGATTCTCCTGCCTCAGCCTCCCAAGAAGCTGGGATTACAGACATGCGCCACCACACCCAGCTAATTTTGTATTTTTAGTAGAGATGGGTTTCTGCATGTTGGTTAGGCCAGTCTTGAACTCCCGACCTCAGGTATCTGCCTTAACCCCAAAGTGCTAGGATTACAGATGTGAGCCACTGAGCCCGGCCCTTTTTCTTTAATCTTTTTTTTTTTTTTTGAGACTGGGTCTCCTCACTCTTGTCACCTAGGCTGGAATGCAGTGGCACCATCTTGGCTTACTCCAGCTTCAGCCTCCCTGGCTCAAGCAATCCTCCCACCTCAGCCTCCTAAATAGCTGGGACCACAGGTATGTGCCACCATGCCCAGCAAATATTTTTGTCTTTTTTGTAGAGATGGGTTTTCCCCATGTTGCCCAAGCTGGTCTTGAACTCTTGGCAAAGTGCTGGGGTTAAAGGTGTGAGCCACTGCACAGGGCTTTATCTCTTTAAGAGTTATTACACTGTATTTACATCATCTGTATACTGATCAGTAACACTCATACTAAACACTGCAAAAACAATACTTCCACATAATGAGTATTCAATAAATTTTTGCTTTACTCATTTCTATTTTTTGTAGAGACGGAGTCTCACTGTGTTGCCCAGGCTGATCTTGAACTCCTGGGTTCAATCTATCCTCCCACCTCAACCTCCCAAATAGCTAGGACTACCAGTACATACCGCCAGGTCTCAAACTCCTGACCTCAAGCAGTCCTCCTTCCTTGGCGTCTCAAAATGCTAAGATTACAGGCATGAGCCACTGAGCCCAGCCCATTTATTTATTTATTTAATAGAGGTGGGATTTCACCATGTTGGTCAGGCTGGTCTTGAACTCCCGACCTCAGGTGATCCACCCACCTCAGCCTCCCAAAATGTTGGTATTACAGGCATGAGCCACTATGCCTGGCCCATTTATGTATTTTTTAAGAAGTATTGATTGGCTACTATTTTTCAGGTGTTCTTGTGCTCCCTGCTAATCCACTGTGAACCAAACAGATTATCTCTGCCTTCACAGAGTTTCTAGTCTAATTTCAGGCAAATTACTTTGTACCAACCTCTCTGGCTTCATTAGTATTTTGTCTCTATCTGTCTTGAAAACTACCTTTCTTGAAACTTCAAGTGTGCTCCCTATTTAAAGAATTCCAATGGAACGTGTCTATGTTCATTTTAACCATGGTTATATAAATATCAGTAATGCAGTTGGTACGGTTTGACTCTGTGTTCCTACCCAAATCTCATCTCCAGTTGTAATCCCCACGGGTCAAGGGAGGGAGGTGATTGTATCATGGAGAGGATTTCCCCCATGCTATTCTCGTGATAGTGAGTTCTGAGGAAATCTGATGGTTTTATAAAGGGCTCTTCTCCCTTCACTTTCTCCTCTCTCTCTCCTGCCTTCATATAAAATGCACTTGTTTCCCCTTCTGCCATGATTGTAAGTTCCCTGAGGCCTCCCCAGCCATGCAGAACTGTGAGTCAATTAAACCTCTTTTCTTTATAAATTACGCAATCTCAGGGAAGTTCTTTATAGCAATATGAAAATAGACTAATACAGCAGTCTTTGGCTTCATTCTTCCTAGACCATAGAGTCATTCATTTATCTGTAGGATTGTAGCCTTGTAGAAGGGAAGGACCTGTGCCCCTCTTGTTCAAAACTATACCCCAAGAGTCTGGGAAAGGGTAGATCTTCAAATGTTTGATGAATAACTCAAATTTAGACTACACTAATATGAATATTTTTCCTTCATGTCAATCATTTTTATTAGTTGTTACTGTGATTATACCAGTTGTCTCCTAAGGTTTAATGACCAGAACTTCCCTGAGTTTTAAGAGTAAAGAATGCCAATGTTTGTTCCTCTGTTGGAAAAATATTTTGTAAACTCTTGATGTTGTGCTTTGGTTCATGATCCTGATAACACTCTGGAGTGAGCTTCTAGAATCTTGTCCTCTGTAGATGATGAACTCACCCAAGCTGCATTATCACCTACAACTCACCTAACTGGAACTCTTTCCCTAAACTGTGGCTGAGTCATTTCCTCTCTTAAAGCTCAACTTTGAAACATCCTATTTGTTCTGTCCTTTCATCAGTCCTGTTCATGCCTCCTCCACACCCATAAATTCTCCCAGTTTCAATCTATTGCTGATAATCTTCAACAATGCCTGTTTACCAGCCTGTGCAACAAGGGGAGACCCATCTCTACAAAAAAACAAAACAATTAGCCAGGTGTGGTGGCCGGTGCTTGTAGTCCCAGCTACTTGAGCCTGGGAGGTTGAGGCTGCAGTCGGCTGTGATCACACCACTGGGTGCCTAGCCTGGGCAACAGAGCAAGATCCTGTTTCAAAAAAAAAAAAAAAAGAGCTGAGCATGGTGGCTTACGCCTGTAATCCCAGCACTTTAGGAGGCCGAGGCAGGCGGATCACTTGAGGTCAGGAGTTGGAGACCAGCCTGGCCAACATGGTGAAATCCCATCTCTACTAAAAATACAAAAAATTAGTCGGGTGTGGTCATGGGCACCTGTAGTCCCAGCTACTTGGGAGGCCAAGGTGTGAAAATCTCTTGAACCTGGGAGACAAAGGTTGCAGTAAGCCAAGATCGCACCACTGCACTCCAGCCTGGGAGACAGAGCAAAACTGTCTCACAAAAAAAAAAAAAAAAAAAAAAAAAAAAAAAAAAATTGTTGGCCATGCTGATTTTGAACTTCAGGTGATCCGTACACCTTGGCCTCCCAAAGTGCTAGGATTGCTTATTTATATCTTTGATCAGTTTAGAATTTTAGAATGTTTTTATTTTCTCTTAGCTAATCTTAGACACTGGGTGCTTATACTATTTTTGACCAGAAAGGGATTTGTCACAGTTCACATTCATGTATTATGTCAACAAAGGTAGGTTAAGGAATTCCAGGCTTTTAACTAAATCAGGAGTAGATAAAATCCGGTTGTTTTCTTGCCAGTTATTACAATACCTGATGTTCAACGAGTGTTGACCCTACTTCTAAGGACTATATAACTCCCTGTAATTACTCACCCCGAACATACAGTTTTATATCTTGCTGACTAGGTACCTGGCATCCTTCTATCAAGGAGTTCAAATAAATTCACAAACACTAATCTAGTCATCTTTTTGGCATCATCTGCAAAGGCTATATGAAGAAAGAAAGCTGAAGAGTTCTTGGTCACTTCAGTAAGTCCTTAGTAGAAGTTCTCACCCTTTACATCAGTGAGTGTATATGTGTATTTGGAAACTAGAAAGTCTCCGTGCACAGTTCTGCCTAATGCCATCCTATTAATGGGTTCAATATTACTGTCTCTAGCTCTCAAATCATTTACATGTTTGAAATTATTTTTAGATAGTTTTGGGGTGATCCACTCCCTCAGGGAAATGATACAATATTTATATTTATAAACAGAACAAACAAGTATTAGAGCACAGAGGAAGATCTTTAAGAAGAGCTGGCTTGTGGTCAAAAACCAAAGGAGCAAAACATTATGCAGGTGGAACAGAAAGGAGGCAGCTTTGACCTGCACCATGCTTTAACCTGCCAAATTAAGATCTACTTCTCATTATAGTGATTGGTTATGGGTAAGAAAATTGCAGAAACACAGGCAGGGCACTTGAACCCTTCAGATAATGCATTGTGAGGAAAAGGAAAAGGACCTTCACATATTTTTTTTTTTTGAGCAAGCTCCTATTCCATCTCCCGACTCCAAAAATATATTTAATATATTGTCCTCGGATAGAGGATGTATCAGATATTAAACTGATAAGAACAGATACTATGCTTGATCTTAGCCAAAAGGCTGAGAAGTGATGGACCTTCACAGATTATAGAAAATAGCAAACCTTTAGGAAACTCAGCGTGCTGTATAAAATTTTAGTCCAAGTTCATTCTGTAGCTGTCTCCAGGGTAATATGAGTCAGAAAAAAAATAGGCTGTGATAATATTGTATAATAGTTAACTCATAGAGATGTCAGAATTGAAAAGGAAAAAAGAGCTTGCCTGGAGCCAAGTCCTTCCTGGACATTGGCTAAGAATGAACAACCAGGTCTGTAAACATAAGAGCAAAATGACTGGAAAATGTGACTGGTTGGGAAATTGCCAAAAGTTTGCTAGGTAATAATTTAACAGGCTTGGTTTGTCTCTCATTGAAGCAGCAGGGGAGAGTGTTCCAAAGAATGACACCAGACATAGACACCTGGCCCAGTAAATCTCTGGTGAAGACAGTGTTCCTTTGGAGAGTGTGTTAAATTGGCAAAAATTCACAAAAACATATTTTTTATAAAAACATATTTTTAAATGATGGTAATCTTTAGTTTTGGCTTTCTATTAATAGGCTAACCTAAAGTACATGCCAATTACCTCACAAAAAAAGACTGAAGAATTATAGGCATTTAAAATAACTCCTACTGTTCTTGCTTCTTTTGTTTTATAGTTTTTAGTATAACAATTGGATATTTTAAATTGTGTTGTACAGTATTGTGCATAGACTTTTTTGGGAGGGGGAAACGGAGTCTTACTACATTGTCCAAACTGGTCCTAAACTCCTGGCCTCAAGGAATCCTCCTTCCTAAGCCTCCTAAAATGCTGGGATTACAGGCATAAGCCACTGCACCTGTGCCTAGACATTTTATACTTAACTGTTTTTTTTTTTGTCGTTGTTTGTTTGTTTGTTTTTTTAGACAGAGTCTCGCTCTATCACGCCCAGCCTGGAGTGCAGTGGTGTGATCTCAGCTCATTAAAACCTCCACCTCCCTAGTTCAAGTGATTCTCCCACCTTAGTCTCCCAAGTAGCTGGGATTACAGGCACCTGCCACCAAGCCTGGCTAATTTTTTTTTTTTTTTTTGTATTTTTAGTAGTGACAAGGGTTTCACCATATTGGCCAGGCTGGTCTCAAACTCCCAAACTCAGGTGATCCACCCATCTCGGCCACCCAAAGTGGTGGGATTACAGGTGTAGCCCACCATGCCCGGCCCCACTTAACTTTTTATTTTGAAGAATTTCAATCATGGAAAAACAACAACAATGAAAATCTAATGAACTGCAATTACAAGATTTTGCCATTCTTATTTTATCTCCTCTACTTTTTTCTGTGTGAAGAAATGTTTAAATACCAGACGTTACGTTATTTTATTAGTACATAGTTCTCTAAGTATCTTTAACAGATTAGGAGTTTTTGCTTTTTTTAACAAAGTGCAGTACCATTATCAGACCTACAGAATTAATGGTAATTCCTTTATACAATCTAATCCTCAGTCCATATTTATTTGATTTCTCCCAGTATCTCAAAAAACCATTTTTTTAAAGAGCTGGTAATTTCAAATCAGGATCCAAACAAAATCCATACATTTTATTTGGTTGTTATGTCTTTAGGTCTTTTTTTTTTTTTTTTTTTTTAATGTGCCTTTCTGTGACCTCCTCATTGTCATGCCTTTTATTTATTGAAGAGACTGGATTATTTATCCTGGAGAATTTCCCATATTTGGATAATTACAACCTTATGTTATTCAATATATTATTTCACCTCCATATTTTCTATTATTTAAAATCTAATATATTATTGCATCATGAATTAATTAGTAATAAAAAAGAAGCCGGCATGGTTGCTCATGCCTGTAATCCCAGCACTTTGGGAGGCTGAGGCGGGTGGATTGTGAGATCAAGAGATCAAGATCATCCTGGTCAACATGGTGAAACCCCGTCTCTACTGAAAAATACAAAAATGAGCTGGGCGTAGTGGCGTGCGCCTGTAGTCCCAACTACCCGGGAGGCTGAGGCGAATTGCTTGAACCCGGGAGGCGGAGGTTGCAGTGAGCCAAGATTGTGCCACTGCACTCCAGGCTGGCGCCTGGTGACGGAGCAAGACTCTGTCTCAAAAAAAAGAATAAATAATAATTTAATAATTTGTTCAGGCTGGGCGTGGTGGCTCATGCCTGTAATCCTAGCACTTTGGGAGGCCGAGGTAGGTGGATCACCTGAGGTCAGGAGTTCAAGACCAGCCTGGCCATCATGGTGAAACCCCATCTTAAAAAAATAATAATAATAAAATAATTTGTTCAGCAGCAATAGGTAAAAAAGAGAGAAAGAAAAACTAGTAATCTAAAACTTTTGGTAGAGATGGGATCTCACCCAGGCTGGCCTCAAATTCCTGGACTCAAGCAGTTTTTCCACCTTGGCTTCCCAAGGTGCTAGGATTATAAGCGTGAAACACCATACCCAGCCCATATTTTTTATTAAGTTTTTATTTTCTTGGCAAAAATGCTTATTTGAGGATACAGTAGACTTCCTATGGCATCACACTAGGTGACACATAATGTCTAGTTATCTGCATTTTAGTAATGTTACTAAATTTAATTAGCCTGACCTAGCTATTTTTGTCAGCTTTAGCTAGCTAGCTAGCTGTATTCTACATACCGTATTCTACCTTGCTCATTGCAGGGCCTGACCTGCAAAGGAGATTCCACAAGCTGTTTCTGGGAGCTTTATGGTCCTTCCTTTGCAGTCCTTGGCAACAGGGACCCTACCAGGCCCCCTTCCAGTTCCCACTGTGATTCTTAGTTTCATGTTCACTTCTAGTGGGGCTCCTTTTTAAGGTGATGACTTAGTGATTTCTGGGTTTCTTGGTTCTGGTAGTGCTCTCAAGCCCCCTTTTTCTAACCTCCACTTCTGCCAGGACATGCTTTGCCTTGCCTTACACACACACACACACTCTTCCCTCTTCCTCCCACTCTCTACCCTCCCTCTGTTCTTGTTGCTACCATAGTTTGGCCCCACCCATTAATTAGTGTCCTAGAGTTCCAGGGGACATTTTTTCACCAGTTTTGGGTAGAGATGTTGTCTGTAGGTGTTTTCTTTTGCTACCCTAGTTGTTTTCACTGTTTTTATGAGATTTGGGAAGATCCAAGAAGTACTCTGCTGCCATCACCACTACTTTCTTTGCTTCTCTTCACCCTTACATTTTTAAATTTTAAATTGTCTGCTCTTTCTCCTAATGTGATATATTGTAGCCCTAATTTTAAAAAGATTTTCCTTGACCACTATCGAAGTAATTATGACATTTTTACTAGTCCAAAGATTGTGAGATACAGAAGTGTAAATTTAAGTATGTTTATCCTCTTGGCAACAGTTGGGCAGGCTCTTGTCTGACATTTAAATTTATTTACATTTTTAGCTGGGTGCAATGGCTAAGGCCTATAATTACAGCACTTTGGGAGACCAAGGTGGGAGGATTGGTTGAGCCCAGGAACTCAAGACCAGCCTGGGCAACATAGTGAGACCCCTGTCTCTACAAAAAATAAGAAAAAATTAGCCAGGTGGGCTGGTATATTCCTGTAGTCCCAGCTCCTCAGAAGGCTGACATGAGAGGATCTTGAGTCCAAGACTTCTAGGGTGTAGTGAGCTATGATCACACCACTGTACTCCGGCCTGGGTGACAGAGACCTCATCTCAAAATAAAACAAAACATAATTCATTTTCAGAAGAAGCTGTAATATGTTGCTACAGTTTATTGTGAAATTCAAAGTACCATAAAGTGCTTCTGGGCTAAGGGCAACCAAGCAGGCCACCTGGAAGTCTCTGTGTTCTACTCTGACAACTGATCTGAATGAGGATGGTACTGAGTTCAGATATACCTCTGTAAACTTGGCTTGGATAACATTTGCCTGGTATGTTTTATTTATTGCAAGTGGAAAGAATGATTAGCTGAACACTCTAAAAGAGCAAATCAGACTTAAGAATTTTGGAAGTATTACTTAGCTCTAATCACAAATGTTAAACACACTGTAGTGAATATAGTAATTTAAGCTTTATTGTCCTAAATTTTCACATTATTTTATTGAGCCACTTCTTTCATATTTTAGGCTCCCTGTTGAGATCAACTATGAGAAAATAATCTGTTAGAACTGTACCTTTTGTGGTATGCTCCAGGGCTTGTGGTACGCTCCAGGGTTAAGAGCTGAGCTACCAAAACATCATATTAGCCATTAAAAGCTTTCATAGCTGGGCACGGTGACTCACACTTGTAATCCCAGCACTTTGAGAGGCTGAGGCTGGCGGATCACCTGTGGTCGGAGTTCAAGAACAGCCTGACCAACATGGAGAAACCCCATTGCTACAAAAAATACAAAATCAGCTGGGCATGGTGGCAAATGCCTGTAATTCCAGCTACTTAGGAGGCTGAAGCAGGAGAATCGCTTGAACCAGGGAGGCGGAGGTTGCAGTGAGCCGAGATCACGACATTGCACTTCAGCCTGGGCAACAACAGGGAAACTCCGTCTCAAAACAAAAAAAAAAAAAGAAGCTTTTATGTACAGGGCACAACAGGTCAGAGCTGGATTTACACTAGTGAATGAGGAGTGAAATTATACATCCATGGTCCTGTTACAGCCATCATTGAATTAGTCTTGAGGCAAACCCAAAGATAATGAGCTTTGGGTGTGAGCGCAGACTTGAAAGCCACACTAAATGAAACTGGGTCTTCCTCAGCCATTTCACTGAGTAACCTTCGGTAAGTAACGAAATTTTCACATTTGTAAAGTGAAGATAAAAACAGTCTCTATCAGTGATGGGCAGCTATCAAAAAAAAAGTTTCTGACTCACAGAGCTATGAGGAGGATTAACTGGATATAGTTAAAGCATTCAAAACAATGCCTGGCACCTAGTAAGCACTGTAGGCACTTCCTATTGTTACTATCCTCTGTTCCTGAGTTGGTGAGTTGGGTGGTATGAGCATATTATATTACCAAGAGTGAGTAATAATGCCTCCCAAGTTAAATCAGTGGAAGCCTTTCACGGCCACCATCAAACACTGGGAGGATTAATGACTCATTTGTTTTTTGTTTCTTTAAATGTAGAGGATTTTTTTTATTGTTGTTGCTTGTTTGGTTTTTTGAGACAGCCTTGTTCTGTTGCCCAGCCTGGAGTGCAGTGGCATCTCAGCTCACTGCAGCCTTAACCTCCTGGGTTCAAGTGATCTTCCCACCTCAGCCTCCCAAAGCACTGAGATTATAGGTGAGAGCCACGGAGCCTAGCCTTAATGTAGCTTTTACTTTTTTTTTTTGAGACGGAGTCTTGCTCTGTTGCCTAGGCTGGAGTGCAGCGGCATGCACTTAGCTCACTGCAACCTGTACCTCCCAAGTTTATGCAATTCTCCTGCCTCAGCCTCCCAAGTAGCTGGGATTACAGGCGTGAGCCACCATGCCCAGCTAATTTTTATAGGAATGGGGTTCTGCCATGTGTGGCCAGGCTCGTCGCCAACTTCTGGTCTCAGGTGATCTGCCTGTCTCAGCCTCCCAAAGTGCTGGGATCACAGGCATGAGCTATAGTGCCCAGCCCTAATGTAGCTTTTAAAAGCACTTGATTTTAACTCAGGAAACACTTTATTTAATTAGGAAGATCTTAACTAAAATAGGTGTAGTTTTTTTTTTTAATTCTCCCCCCCCCCCCCCCCTCCTGCCCCCCCTCACACCCCCCTCCTGGCCAGGTGTAGTTTTATGGTATTTTTTGGGTGTATTTTTAGGGAAAAATTCACATAGTAATTATTTTTTCCCAGGCAATATGAACATTAGAGTAAAAGACTTTGTAATGTTGAAACAAATTAATGGCACATAAATCATGGACAATTGTTTTATACAAAGTCTCCATAATCCCAGTACTGCACTTAAATTCACTTATAGTCTACCAGTCAACTTATCAAAGATACATTTTGTGTAAAGTCAGATTCCTCTGCATCTTCATTTTATTTCCTGAGACAGGGTCTCTCTCACTCTGTCCCCAGGCTGGAGTGTAGTGGCCTAGTCACAGCTTACTGCAGCCTCCATCTCCCCAGGCTCAGGTGATCCTCCCCTCTCAGCCTCCCAAGTAGCTGGAACTACCAGAAGGTACCACCATGCCTGGCTAATTTTTGTATTTTTTGTTGAGATGGGGTTTCACCATATTGCTCGGGCTAGTCCTCCACATCTTAGTAAGCTTTCATTTATTTTTATTTTTTTACAGTGAAAGAAAGTTTATTAGAGAAGTAAAGAAAATTGTTCTCATTGATTTTTTCTACTGTAACACAAAGCTAAAGGAAGCACTGGTAAATTAATTTTAATTCTAAATTCCTTTGATTTGATTTGAACTTAAAATGTGTAACATGGCACTTGACCTTAAGAATACTAAAAGATTTATCATATGAACACTAATGCAGTGCTGTTAGGTGATCACTACCCATTAAATGAAGAGAAAAATGTACTATATAAGAAAAACCTTTGTCTTTGTATGTCTTCCACAGTTTTTTTGCTGTTATTGGATTTATTAATTTTTGAGACTATCATAAAACAATTTGGACTTAAATTGTGTCTTGGACCAGAATTTGATAAGACTTTTTGGTCAGTTTACCAAAATGGCTTTAGATCAAGATCTGACAGCCACATGAAGCTTTATAAATTTTTCAGATACACTACTAGAAAAATGATAGAACAGTTTTCTTTCACAGTTTTCATTGGGAATCAGATATCTAGTAAGAATTAACAAAATTAGATAACTCAAGAAGTACACAAGTTAAATATATCAGAATACAGAACATCTGGTTTGAAATTTTTTTTTTTGTTTGTTTGGTTTTGTTATTGAGATGGAGTCTCACTGTGTCAACCAGGCTGGAATGCAATGGTATAATCTCGGCTTACTGCAACCTGCACTTCCCAGATTCAAGCAATTCTCCTGCCTCAGCCCCTCTAGTAGGATTACAGGCACCTACCTCCATGCCCAGCTAATTTTTGTCTTTTTAGTAGCAACAGGATTTCACCATGTTGGCCAGGCTGGTCTCAAACCCCTGACTTCAGGTGATCCACCCGCGTCAGCCTCCCAAAGTGCTGGGTTTATAGGCATAAGTCACCGTGCCCGACAGGTTTGAAATATGTTTAATTTGAGGGGAAAACTTGATTCACTGTTAATTAAGAATGGGAAGTAATCTGTAGTAATCCTAGTTCTAAACCTCTACAGTTTCTCCTTTGTAACATCACATATATCACAACTCATTGCAGCATCATTATAGCCCCTCCTGGGAGCATCCCAGGCACAACAATCTCTGGTCCCCACTGCCTTTCTCTAAAAGTAAGATATTGGATATTCTGGTTAATCCAAAAATCTGATGAAGAGTTTTCACCACTAAGCACAAATATGTCACTTGTGGCTAATTTATAACAATTTAGAATAAGATTCCTCATACAGGGTGTTTTTCTTTGCCATCTCTAACCTATACCCACAGTTTGTCAAAGTGAATAATTCCCTATTTTAACATTATTTTATTTCATTTTATTTTATTTTTTTGATATGAGGGTTTCACTCTGTTGCCCAGGCTGCAGTGCAGTGGTGCGATCTCTGCTCACTGCAGGTTCTACTCCCTAGGTTCAAGCAATTCTCCTTCCTCAGCCTCTCCAGTCACTGGGATTACAGGTGCACATCACCACACCGGGCTAATTTTTTTGTATATTTAGTAGAGACAGGGTTTTGCCATGTTGGCCAGGCTGATCTCAAATTTCTGACCTGAAGTGATGCACCTGCCTCGGCCTCCCAAAATGCTGAAATTACAGGCATGAGCCATTGCGCCCAGCCAACATTACTTTAAATATCTAAATAAATTACCCTTGGCACTAGAACCAAATAGAAGAAAGATAATTTTAGAAGAAGAAATTTTATTTTGATGTTGAGAGAGATTGTTGTCTTCATTATGAACAGTAATGGGAAGCTTGGGTCTGCTTGCAACTAGCTTTTCTGTCCAAAGAGTGGGAGGTAGAATATGATGATCCAAATTACTTTTAAATTTAAATGTAGGGCAATAGATAGCAACAACAGCCACACAAACATGGACACACAGGTACATACACACTCCGGCCATTACCACTTTGTATCCTTTATTTTATTTTATTTTATTTTATTTTATTTTATTTTTTAGAGACAGGGTTTCACCATGTTGGCCAGGCTGGTCTCAAACACCTGACCTCAAGCAATCCACCCGCCTCAGCCTCCCAAAGTACTGGGATTACAGGTGTTAGCCACTGCGCCCAGCACTTTATATCTTTTTAAACTGTTCTTACTTCTTGCACCATCAGGAGATTCTGCTATTCAGTTCCTCTCTGGCAAATGCTTGATTGACAGTCTACTCTCAATCTCTCCATCCCCCACTCCACAGACACAGAGATGACTAAGGAGTAAAAATAAAACAAGTACTTTCGATCAATCAATGTAATGGTCTATTTATAGTATATAAATTCCTCATCCTCAGTTTTTCTCCCCAACCTGGATCATATTCCTGTAAAAATCTTAAAAATCTTTATTTCACCTCCCTAATTTAAGATAGAAAGTCTGACTTGAACTTCTTTGAAAATACAATACCCCTTTCAATAAAACGTTTGGCTTCCCTCTGCTTTATGAATGTATACTTTAAAGTTGCAAATAACTACACTTATTTGGATTTAAATTGTATCTCAGACCAGAATTTGATGAGACTCTTTGGTCAATTTACCAAAATGGTTTTAGATCAAGATCTGACAGCCATATGAAGTTTTAGAAATTTTTCAGATGTAGCCGGGCACAGTGGCTCATGCCTGTAACCTGTAATCCGAACACTTTTGGAAGCCCAGGCAGGTGGATCACCTGAAGCCAGAAGTTTGACCAGCCTGGCCAACATGGTGAAACCCCGTCTTTACTAAAAATGCAAAAATTAGCCGGGCATGGTGATGCACGCCTGTAATCCCAGCTACTAAGGAAAAGAGGGGCAGGAGAATCGCTTGAACTCAGGAGGCGAAAGTTGCAGTGATCCGAGATTGCATCACTGCACTCCAGCCTGGGCACAGAGCGAGACTCTGTTTCAAAAAAGAAAAAAGCAACACACATACATAAGTGTTTAATGCCAAATTAATCAAATATGGTTGAAATATTTGTTGAGTGACCCAGGACTTTAACAGAAAAAAGAAAAAGTTTCATCCAAAGCTACTTCAAATATATTTTGAATCATAAAGGAAAGATTTTGAGTGAGTGAGAGAGGGGTGCTGAACAGGGAAAATAGGTAGAATGAGTGACAGGCTTCTTGAAGTCAAATTTCAGTAATCTTAGGACTATAGTAGGGAGAATCTGTTGGGAAGACAATCTTACCTACACTGGAGAGTAGGATGAGGAGAGAAAGAAGGCTCTGGAGTGTTTCACATTTTCCTTATCTCATTTAGTCCTCACAATAACTCGGCGACAGAGTTAGCATTATTCCCAGTTGACAGATGAGGAAACTGAATCGTTGTAGAATTCAGGTAAATTCTGAGGCAAAGAAACAATGTTTTTGTTGTGTACAAACATAATATATATTACAAACTGAGGGAGGTGCTCCAAATTAGATGAAAATTGGCTACTGATCAGTATTATTTCCTCCCATTTATGGATGGAGAAATTCAGAAACTGCTAGATTATTAATACTTGGAAGCTGATGGAATGAATCAATATGGCATGACAAAAAGAATCTTGCAGTTGCCATTTCCATGTTTCCTGTGTTTAAGATATGCTGATTAGATACTCTTAGCACATCCATTTTGAGAAACAGCCCATATTTTAAAGACGTGGCATTTAGAAATGTCA